AATTAGAGGTAAAATAAGATCTATCACTAAATCGATACCATAAATATATTTTACTTTAACTTTGAAATCATCAATAATTTAAAAATGATTTAATTTCAATAGGTTTTAAAGTTTACTATTCCTATTTTAGAACTAAGAACATAGACACACTATCTGCTGTGAGTTTGTGAATTTAAATAGATTTATAAAGGTTAGCAGAAAATATTCTGGCAAACTGTATTCTATTTCCTAGCTCCTTCATTTCTTACTCTGGGGACCACATGACATACCAACTCTTGTAGTCAGAAATGACATTGCCTAGGGACAGGCAACAGTAGGACTGAGGTGCTCATCAGGGAGAAAAAAAGCACTATTCCTATGCTGCAGGCATCTATGAGTGCTGCTGCAGATGACAGCAGAAAAAGTGCAAGGGTCAGAGAAGGATAGGGTGAGTGGGAATATAGAGCAGGACATTTTTAAATTTGTGAAACATCACTAAGGACCACAAGGCAGGATTGGTAGATATTACTTCTAAGATGCCAATTAAAATAAGAACAAATTGGTAACTCAGTGGCCTTAATGTCTCATGGGTATTCTAACATTAAAACTTCAGTGAACTTAAGTTCTTTAAGATTTATTCTAACATTCAAAAACACACGTAAAATCGTACCAACTTCACCCCAGTGGAAAGGATTAGTGCTGCCTGTTGTGCAATTATACACCATGATGTTTCTTGGTCTGTAAAGACAAAGATGAAAACAATGAAACATAAAAAGAGACCAAACTTAACCAATCTAAATCTTACATAATATTCAAGTAGGAAGACATGAACATGATGGGTACATTTCCTATACTTATTATTTTTTTAAAATTATCCTTAAAGAATTACTGTTTAAATTAATGACTATTTACAACCACCCTTTCTCCCTCCCATACCAAAAAAATTATTTATTAAAAAATACAGATTTTTTTTTTTTTACACTTTTATTCCTCATATTAGCAGAAGTGTCTGTTTTTAAACGTGAATAAAATAACAATCTCAACTCTTCCTGTCTCCTCATTTTCAGAGGCTCTAGTCAAAAAAAATTAAGGACTAAGCTCCCTTTTACCAGAAACAACATATTCAGATAATTATATCCCTCCTTTTTAAAATACTGACTTCAAAAATAAGGGTAGTTTATTGTTAGAATAAAAAGTTATTGGGAAGCTTAAAGTTTAGATGTTAGCTATAAATGCTACTATTACGTTTTAAAATAAAGATGCTCATGGGTTGATTAAAGCTGCTCTAGTGTGCCCTGTTTAATATATTTAAACCATGGTGAATTTCAGCTCTTTATATATGCCAAGTTTATATCAAGTTTTATTTTAAATTAAAAATCATCCTTGGGGAGGGCTTTTTTAAAATTTTTTTTCATTTTCAATCCTTACTGAATTTGTCCATCCTATAGGTAGTACATGAGAATTAACATTAATTCTTCCTTACTACTCTACTGATGGGACTGCTTGCTATTGCCTATGATATAACAACTCTTGCAGCTGGTAGGGATATTGCCTATGTATTGGTATAGCAATATCAGGACTGAGGGATTAATTAACATTAGTCAGTAGCTCTGTTTTCCCTTCTCAGTTACTACATATTTAATAAGCGACATTGTCACCTCATATACCTATTAACTCCGGAATACCAGGCTGCCGCAAGACTCGTGTTGACAACTACATCTACAGGAACAAGATCTGCAAGGGCACTGTTGGAGGCACGCATTGTTCGAAGAATTCCTTTCCCTGCCTTTGTTGAAATTAAAAACAACACCTTAAGATATATAAGCCGTAGTGTATATATATTTATATATAAAGATATACAGAAAACAGAAAAATGCATAGATTAAATAAATCAAAAGGTTTACTTACCGCAATAAAGAGACCACTTGGTCCATTAAAGTTATCAATCCATCCCTAATACCAAAAAATGAAAAAGGGGGGGAAGCTTAGAAGTATGAAACTAGAGATTTATTATTTGAAATCTACAACCCCAAACATACACTTGGTAGCTTTCTCCTAAAAGCTAAAAAATAGACTAGATTCAGGCCAGAATATTTCTACCAGTACCAAATAGAAGCAGTCTTCCTCTGGGATCATAAATGACTGAATAAAAACATTTTCAAGGAGTTACCTACTCTTCCATTAATTATCTGCAAAGAGAGTACTATAAAAAGGAATTTATGTTGGCAAATATTTTTGTTAAATTAAGCCCATGTTTGATTTTATGCCATTTACCAATGCAGCACTCATGATTGGGAAAAACAGTAAATCCTGTTCAAAATTACTGAATAGAGGAAAACAGAATAATTGTCAAAGCAACAAAAAAGGTGCTATCATTTACTAGGTTTTATCCTAAATCATTTTATGCTTTATATTTCTGCTTTCTCTCATTCAAGGGATTCACAAATACCATAAAACTGTGTTTTTTTGCCTTTTTTTTTTTTTTTAACAGAAAGTTATCATAGAAATCTCTATACCTTTCCTAGCTTTGTGATACATACAGGGAGGGGTCTACCTCTTGGAAGGCCTGCCTCTTTTTGGTACTAAAAAGCACATAAAATCATGGCCTCCTTTGACTCAAGACAATGCCACAGAGCTTTTGATTTAATTTTCTATTAGAATTTTTAAAATGCTGATCTGCATTTCTATATACCCAGCATCACACAGAGATAAAAGTACCAATAAAACTATTTCTTCCTATGAATGGAGAACAGCTATGCCATGGTTAAGCCATGTTCAGCAAATAATACCTGCTATTAAATAACTGCCAACTCTTTTTATATGGTTATGATTTAAAATTCTCAACTCCAATTATTTATAAAGATTTCTAGTAACTTACTGGAAAAGGTTCTTTCCAACTGGCACCAACAATTGATGGCCTTACAATCGCCACATTTAGCTTTGCTCCTTCTTGTTGTACAACGTATTCTGCCAATGCTTTCGTGTATATGTATGTATTAGGTCTGTCTCCTATCAATTTTGGCGTGATATCATTTACTAAGCCATCATCCATCCATCTGGTAAACAGAAAAATTGCATATAAAAATATTTCCAGAGTTTTAATGTAAAATGAAAAACCACTTAACTTTGCATATTCAAACATATCTGTTGCTCTGACTCAAATGACTTGATAATTTTTACTAAAAAATGCAAGTTAGTCTTGTTTTCATTAAACATCAACTATGGGCCACAATCCCTTATTGGCAATTTCTACATCCAAAAAGGTCTGAAAACCAAGAGTTCTTTCATAAATCATATGGCACATAGCAAAACCTAATTTGAAGTGATTTATGGTCTTTTTTCTAATACCACTGAAGTTTACATATTCATATACTTTTTATGTGTTTCGTCAGAGATGCTTACCCCACATCAAGTTGGAGTTTTTCATATCGCACAGCACATAAATTATTTTTCCTTTCTAAAGTCCAAATAAATTTCAAAACATATCTGGCCCCAAAAGTTTCAGATTAGAAACTGTAGATCTGTATATAACCACCTTACATGTTAATTATATACATTTGCAATTAACATAACAGGTCTAATAATCTAAATATTTACAGTGAAGCACTGCAAATTGTATGATCTCACTAATGAGATTAACAAATACTAGGATAAACAATAAAAATAAATTGAGCCATGTTACAAAAATTCAATTAGCAACCTACTATAAAGACATAAAATTCCTCCAACTCTCTGTCTCTCTGAAGAAATGGTCTACTCTTATCATCTGTAAAAGCAGGATCATATACTAGGTTATGTCTATGGTCTTTCCTCATCTAAATTTAAGATTCTGATGTTACATACTTGTTTTCAGATACTTTTTTCTTCTTGTCTACAATGCTAGGCATATAAGCAGACTCAGTATATTGTCACACTCCAATGATACCCATACTAACTGATACAGAAGCATAAAATGGAGATTATCAAGATAAATTTCCTTCTGTACAGGGAAGTACTTTTTGTACATGGAAGGACAAGAACATTAATTAAATTGAAGGGAGACTGCTACCAAACTTAGGAAAAATTCCACAGTGCAGATGAGTTTTGCAAAATGGAAGGGATAGTTGATACATGAGGGGTAAAAAAACCTGCCTAAACTGAAGACAGACTTTAGTGTAAGCCTTATCAGTAGAGTGAGTTCACGGGGCAAATCCATGAGTTACCCTAAAACTATCCACTAGCTAGATTACTTTGTAAGCAAGAAAAGGAGATATAGCATTAGGTTACAAGCTCTTTTTCAGTTCCTTAGATGTTTGCATATACCAATGTTAATGAGAAAAAAAGTACATTACTTCATTAACTTCCACACTCAACTTTTCCCAGAAATATTACACATTTCTATTGACCTGCAAGAAAATGAAGTAGATTTGAGGATCATACAAGAAACTGAGTCAGAACATTGAAATCAGGGAATTACCATAAGGGAATTTCCTGATTAGCAGGAAAGCCTTAAAGAAAGGACTGCATGCTTATTTTAGGAGAAACTAGCAGATGATAACTAAGGAGTCAAAAGTGGACAGAATCTCTGGGAAGAAAGGAGACTTCAGGGAGACAGGAAAGAATAAAGCATAAAGGAGGAAATGGCCCAAAGATATTACGTGAGGATTAACAAATATGTGAAGATATGGTAGATACTGGAATGTTTCTATAATTGTGTCTATGAAAGAAAATAGACCACTCTTTTTCTTTTTGCTCTGATTCTTGTTTCTTGGATGAGAAAGCACAGGCTAAAGCAAACAAGAACTGGGCCATGGTATATGTATACTTCACTCAATCCCCATCCAATAATACCCATAAATATTTTTCATGTAATAATTGCTAACAGGATCCCAGGCCTCAGAAAGATTACAAATAATAACGCTAAGAGTATGAATAATACTCTGACTAATGACTACTCTGATTCCCTAGTAAGTAAAGGCCCCTCTATAGATATACTCCATTGGGCGAGCAGGGAGAGTAATTCTGTAAAAAATTAGAACCTTGTGGTTAAACAGGCAGTCATTGTCTCCACAGGTACTGGTTGTTAGCATTGATTCCCTGAAAAACAGAGCTTCTAGTATAATGGGTAAGTTGTTCTGAGGCCTTCCTCCAACCATCACCATTACACTTGGTCAAAAGTGAAAACCTTCCACTGACTTCACCAATTAGGTAAAAATCGATACAATATAAAAAGAATATAGCAGATATGCAATAATTTGTTGAAGAAAGGAAGAGATAAAGGTATGCATTTGTGGGTATATGTGGAGAGAAGAAGAAAGGAGGGGGCTGAAGTGAGGAGAGGAGGGGGAGAGAGAAAGGGAGGGAGAGAAAGAAAGGTAAATAGTTAAACTTGGATCCAAAGTTTGGGGATCAAAGCAAATGTACATAAATTTCAAACAAACATACTCTAAAGAATCAATCAGCTTCTTGGGATCCACAGGGGGTGGATAGACTACTTCATCAATATGCTTTCGATTGCAGTAGGCATATGCTGTTGATACATGCATGAATACTTCCAGATTCTTCATTTGCTGTGCAAGGAGAATAAGCTGTCGTGTAGCAATCACATTTAACTGAACAGCATCTCTATTAAAAAAGAAAAGTGACAAGAAAAAATTTAGAAACTGTCATTTATTTGACCTGTTTTAAAAAATTCTTATTTTCATTAGAGAGATATAGAGAGACAGAGACAGAAATTTTTGTTTCTTTACAACTTATCCTTTAGCTCTAATTTTGTGTATTTTATTTCAGCATGAAGTATCTCTATCAGCAATGTTTAAAAAGAAATTTTCTGTTTAGAAAATACACTTCACTGCAGCATTTAAAAAATAAAAGTACAAATTAAAAAATTATAATTACCCAGAAATAAACACAGATAATTTCAATCTTTAGCTTTTATGCATACATTGTGAAGTCATGCTAGATTGCTTTTGCATCCTGGTTTTTATTTCTTTCTTTTTACTTTTTATTTGTTTAGAGACAGGGTCTCACTCTGTTGCCTAGGTTGGAGTGCATGAGTGTGATCATAGCTCACTATAGCCTCAAACTCCTGGGCTCAAGAGATCCTCCTACCTCAGCCTCCCTAGTGCCTGGAACTACAGGCATATGCCACCATAGCCGGCTTGCATTTTGATTTTTATAAGTATAATCTTTCATGATATAGAGATGCCACAAGAAGGAAAAAATAGAATGGTTAAGTAATCTTAAAATGCTATGGTAGAGTCACCAAAAGGGTGATACAGCCAAAGAAAACTCATCAACATTAAACTATATTAGCATATAATCAAGTAAGAATATGTTTCCTTCTTTGTAGCAATTAATCCAAACATCTTTTTAAGACTTCCTTACAAAATTCAAAGGGATATTACAATAATACTGGTACATTTGTTACAGGAGGCATAGGCAAGACCCCAAAATGATCTATATACTCCCTTCTTGGAATTTATTTGAAGTAATTCTACAAAAACAAAAGTACATATGTAGAAAAGTAATCAATGAAGCATCATCTAATAATATTAATAACAAAGGCCAAGAAAGCTCAAATATTCGCTATGAATGGAATTGTTTAATAAAGTAGGCACTTTATCACAATGAAAGAATATGGCCAATAAAATAATCATATGAAGACTATAAAAACATGAACAAATCTGTATGAATATCAAAAAAAATGCATATATTATATGATGTGAAGCAAGATTAAAAACAAGCCTCTAGAATCAGATCTAATTCTGGCTTCACCTGCCTATCAGCTAGAATGTAAAGTTATCAAAGCATTCAGGCTTCAGTTTCCTTACCTATAAATGAGAGCAATAAAGGAATTTACCTAATAAGACTTGTATAAAATTAAATGAAACAAATAGCTTGCAAGTATTTAGCATTATTCCTAACATAGTCCCGAAACAGGCAGTCAATAAATACTACTTAAGGTAATGAGATGTGGGTAGTTTTTACTTTCTATTAAATTCTTGTTTATAGCTTGTTACTTTTTAAAAAAACAACTGACCAAGAGATCTACTGTACAACACAGTGACTACAGTTAATAACAATGTATTGTATAGTCAAAAATTGCTAAGAGAGTTCAGGTGTTCTCATTATAAAAAATGATACGTACATGAGGTAATACGTATATTAATTTTAAGCTCAATTTAGCAATTCCATCATGTATACATATTTCAAAACATCATGTTGTACATGATGAATATATACGATTATTTGTCAATTAAAAAATAAAGGGCTGGGCACGGTGGCTCATGCCTGTAATCCTAGCTACCCGGGAGGCTGAGGAAGGAGGATCGCTTGAGCCCAGGAGTTTGAGGTTGCTGTGAGCTAGGCTGACACAACGGCACTCTACTCAGGGCAGTAGAGTGAGACTCTGTCTCAAAAAAAAAAATAAAATAAAAAATAAAAAAGGAAAAAAGGTTGAAACACTCAATACCAGTGACAAAAATAGCAAAGAAATACACTGTTAGTGACACTATAAACTGATAGAACTGATCTGAAAGAAACTAGGACAAAGTACCAGAAATTATAGAAATGATACAATTATTAATCTACTTTACTGAAATTAACTCAGAGGAAAAACTTGTTCTAACCCTAATTTTTCAAACAAAAAGAAATTAAAGTTCCCTAAAGTTTGTTATTCTAAGTGAATATTACATAAATTGTAGCAAATCAATACAATGGAATATCATCAAATCCCTAAAATCATAACTGAAAAAAATCTGAAATATGGAAATTGTTTCTATATTAAATTTTAAATGTAAAATTAGAAAGTCTATATTCACAATTATGTAAAGCAACACAAAGAAAATTTTTTTAGGAAATGAAAATAGTTTTGAGCACTTTCCAAAATTCTTATATTTTCAGTATTTAAGATGAAAAAAATCCAACTATTGTTTTAAAAGGTCACGATGTGTCACAGATAGAATCCAGTCCACTTGACTGTAAATCAGTGCTTTGATGTCTATCGCATTTGCGAGACAATGGGATATGGAGGGTACTATTTGGAAGAGGAATACAGAGAATATTCCGTTACAGGTTCCTGAGGACAGGACAACAAGTTCTGGGTCACCAGAAACAAGGTATAACTCCATGAGAGAAAAAAACTTCTGTGCCTTATTTTTTTTTTTAATTTAATAGTATCTGAAACTATGAAAACATACTAGGGGGAAATTTTTTTAATGAAATAACTGGGTGGGTCTTATAAAATTATAGGTGCAATCTTTTTTTCTTCCTTATCTCAATTGAGGGAGAAAATTTGTTGAAGTGGAAATCCAGCAAGAAAGACATCTCACAGAGAGGACACTGGCCACTAACTGAGGGAATGTGCTCTTTTCTTTTTCATTTGCAAAACAATAGGGGTAGGCAGAGTAATGTTTTGGGAAAAGTACACAAAGAATATTCTGTTACACGGTACTCAGGATGGTGACAGAGTTTCTGGGTCACTGAAAATAGGGAATTACTTGAGAGGAACACTTTTGTGCCTTGCCTCCCCAACCCCCATCCCATGTGTATCTAACAGCCCAAACCTGAAGCCATTTTGTACCCACATAAGTAACTCTTAGTGCCTCTGCCAGGTTTTACTGCAATCCAATTTCTACTCCATTGAACTTTAGGCTGAGACCCTGATGTGTTAGATCACAAAAGCATTTAGTAGTAAACAAAAATAATGTTCTAATTATGTTTTGGTTATATGGAGTCATCAACGCATCTTAAACAAGATAGGCTTTTGGGAGAGGGGTGCAAAATGAGCAAATCTTTGTAATTGTGGCCCTTCACTAATGTAAACATAAAAACCACTTTCACAGAAAGGAAGGAAGGAAGGAAGAGAGAGAGAGAGGGAGAGAGGGAGAGAAGGAGAGAGGGAGGGAAGGGAAGAAGGAAAGAAGGCAGGCAAGCAAGCTCACTCAACTACTTAAAATGCCAATAAATTTTCTTGTTCATCTGTCTTCTTACAGACATCTGGGTTCTTCAAAATCGTTGATGATACTTCTAAAGATTTTAAATCAGAACTTTAATACTTGGCATAACACACACCTTGGAGTGTATTAAAAATGTAGATTTCTGGACCTCATCCTCAGACACTCTTAATGTCTGAAATGAGGCCTCAGAAACTACATTTTAAATAAGTTCCCCAGGCCACTTTGACACAAGTCTCTTATACACTCTCCTCACCCCTGAGAAAATACTACCTAGATAAGATCTCATTACTATTATGGCCACTTTTTTCAACCTCAGTGAAAATACAGACAGATATTGGGGACAAATGAATCAATCTTAGGGTAGGGGACTCAGGCACCCGTAATTTTAAAAATGTCTCTAAAGCTGATTCTGAGCGCACTGGTTCTCAAAGTGCACTACAAGGTTCAACAGTGACTAAATCACACCCAGGGCTTTTGCTAAATGAGGATTCTGGGGTATTATTCCAAAACTAGAGGGTCAGAATTTGGCAAGTACAGTCCAGGAATCTGCATTTTTTAACACATATTCCAGTAATTCTTAAGATTCATGATACATTCTTAATGTTTGAAAATCAGTGCCCAAGAAACTCAATAGTTTCTTAATCTTTTCTAATAATTAATCTTTATTTCCATTTCTTTCTTGAAAGACTTTCATTTTCATACCTTATCACCCAGAATTGCCCCATTTCTAAATTCTTGTACTGTGAGTTTTCCCCAAGCTATATCATCTGTCCATCCATTCTCCCCTTAAGCCTGCTTTCTGTCCTCACCATGGTCTTCAGTTTCTTGGTGGTTCTTTACTCCCAACTCCATTGGCCCTGTCCTACATTCATTCCCCTTGCTGCTACCTTCCCTTACACCAGAACCCATGATCAACTATTTGAGTAACTTGCTTTATTACTCTCACTTCTCCCCTCACCTTTTGTCAGTATTTCTTTAAAATTCCTAATTTTGATATCCTTTCTTTCCCATCTCAAGATTTAGGAACTACTGTATCTGAAAATAAATGAGATCTACTTCTTCTCAACTCTGACAGCACTTAACGTATGCTCCTTAATAACTCCTTATTTTCTGTCCTACATTATGGTTCTTTAACCATATCCTATCTACTCTATTAGACTATGTGGACTTTGCAAATAGGAACATCCATTAAAATTGCTTCACAGAAATAATAATTTCAATGTAATGACTAGGGCTAGGTCAGTGAACATACATGGCCTTGACAAAGAAAGAGAAGAATACAGTATCTACCCCTTCTGCTAGGCTATCGCTAGTAAAAAAAAAAAAAAAGAGAGAGGATAATAAAAAAAAGATGTCCTTTTCATTAATGGTAGCCTTGCTTATCCTAAGGGGAACAAAGAGAGAGAAAGTTACCGGAAAATACTGTACTTTGGTCCTCCTTGTAAAGGTTACTTTGATGAGTTTCACCCTACTTAATGTTGTCTGTTCACAAATCAATTTCCCCTTTAAAATTATCTAATTTCCCCCTTTAAGTCAATAACGACGATACCACAATTAGCCAGTATCTATGTCCATTTTCTTCTCAAAAGCATGCTACACTTCATAAGGCTGTGTGAACCCTATTTTTGGTTATGAGGAACATAATAAAAGCCAGAACTATGGGGAAAAAATATCTGTTAGACTGACCATTTCATACTAATGAATTTCAGGGAAGATAAAGCCTTAACTAAAAATTGGAGACCACATTCACAATCTTGGAAATATTAGTTAAAAATGAATTGTTAAACCTATATGCAAAAATATATACATGCAAGGAAAATTTTAAATGTAAAAAAAAAAAAATTGTTAGTTGATAAGGGTTATCAGTTCAAGATTTATGTGTTACTTTTAAAAATAACTTTTAAGAGTTATTTGTGTACATCTTTATTTGAAGATTAATTCATGTTCATGGTAGAAAAATAATAACACAGATAAAACTAAAAACCTACCTGTAATTGCACCATCCAAAGACAATTATTGGCAAATATAGAAAGATATACATAAATACACTTATATACATATTTTATGAAAATGAGATTATATTATAGTTCCAATAACTTTTTTGTTACTCCTGAATCATGAATACATAATAACTGCACAGTATTTTGTGTGGCCGCATAGAAAGAACCAAAAGGTAAATAAACAAAGCAATTGCTACAGATTCAGATTTTCTGTGGAGGACAAGCAAACTAAGATATCATTTAAACTTCTTGAAGGAAAAAAAATCTATTGAGAAATGTTATTTCAATTTTATAGCTAAGGAAACTGAGGCTCAAATTCACCAGTTAATAAATGATAAACATCAAGATTAGAACTAAGGTATGTAATTCCAAAGCTCATGCCCTTTCCATTACACTGTTGCGTCGGTTTACTCAAGAATGGATTTGCCTGTACTATCACAGTGGGTAAGACCAGCATGGAATAAAATAATGAGAAATACCTTGAAAACTATAAAGCACTACTGCAGAAATATAAGAGACTACTACAGTGCCCTCACCTGGAATACAGACAAAACATACTGTAATACTTGGCATTGAACTGTCACATCATATAATGTTGATTAAGGTTTATACTTCTATTTACATTATTAGATAAAGATGGTATGAGAGATAATATCAAAACCTTTTGTAATCAATTTTAAAACATTTATTTTAATTGACATAATAATTGTACATATTTATGAAGTACATAGTGATATTTCAATAGGGTACTTAGCATGTCCATCATTTTCAAACATTTACCATTTCTTTGTGTGGGGAACATTCAATATCCTCCTTGTAGCTATTTAATTTTAAAACATTTTAAAGAGAAGGCCTTCAGGTAGTTTTGAATCCTAAAAAAAGTCTATACCATTTTAACTAGCATATGACCATACAATTAGATTAACATTATAAAAACTATTTTTGGACATACTGTCAAAAGGAATGCTCTAAATTAAGAATCACTATTTTAAATGAATATTCATTAGCTTTTTAAAATAGTGAACATTTAGAATGTTAACTTTTCTTGAAACAAGAATCTTGAAGGAGGTCCAAATTATTTTTTAAATTAAATTTATGTCCAATGTACCTTGCCCCAACACTGCTGCAAGTTTTAAGATAAAAAAAAAGTGTGATTTAAATTTATAAGCCATTTTATTTTATTCTGTAAAACCTGGACCTAATTTTGTTTAATTTTCAGATGGATATAATGGGGGGTAGAAGAAAAAGCTCCTGGGGTAGAGATTTCTGAAAGAATTGTGGGAGGAGAAGATATAATAAACACTATTAGTTGTTAAGACTAATACTCCTAACCTAAGGTAAACTTCTCTTTATTCTACTCCATTTCTTGCCTCTTCCCTGTCACACATTTAAACTCATAGCAACTTCTTCTAATAAACATATACTAGTTATCCAATGTTTTTAAACTGATAATAAGAGGAAGGAAATTCTTTTAACACCCCAGGACACTGAAAGCCACAGTTAACATATGGCAAACAGTTTCAAATCACTTTCAAAACAACTTGACTAAAAAGTAGAATTAAATTAGATCTTTCAACTAGGCTGAAGTATTTATATAATAAATACCTGTACTTACCTTAAATTTTCATTAAACCTTACTGTAGCTGCACAGTGGAATATAATATTGGTAGAATCTATGATGACCTCTTTATCTTCTTCACTAAGAGCCAGTGTAGGTTGGGTGAGTTCGCTGTTGATTGCTATAATTTTCTCTCTAAAATTTGGATTTTCATCTCTCAATCTGTCAAAGAGCTATCAAAGGGGAAAAAATATTTATTTTAGAGCAGTATTTTTCCACTTTCTAAAACCCATTATCACCATTTTTCCCCACCAAGGATGACTATTTTAAAAACTTAAACTATGCAATTCCTAAGATTGCTATTCTTTAATTCTAATTCTCATGAGATATTACTAAAATTACTTTTCTTAATTGCTATTATTTATATAGAAAACACCCTATGAGGCGCACACTATTATCCTCATTTTTTTTTTTTTTTTTTGAGACAGAGTCTCACTGTGTTGCCCAGGCTAGAGTGCCGTGGCGTCAGCCTAGCTCACAGTAACCTCAAACTCCTAAGCTCAAACAATCCGCCCGCCTCGGCCTCCCAGAGAGCTAGGATTACAGGTTTGAGCCACCGCGCCCGGCCTATCCTCATTTTATATATAAGGAATCTGAGACTCAGGTTAAGTAGTTTGCCAAGGACACAGAGCTGGCAGTTAGCAGAGATGAATTTGAGATGTCCATGTCTTAGCTGATTAGGTTATGTTAGCCCTCGGAATAGGCTTAAGCAATACAGACAACATTTAAAATGATCATTCAGATTTGTAAAATCTAGACATTAATTTATCACTTAATTTCACTTTTATTTTATTTCCTTTCAGTAGATATGAGTAAAACACTATGATTCACATTCTACCTAACAGAACAAATTTTTTAAAAGGGGAATAAAAGGTGGCAACAAATAAGCAGAGGAGAAACTGGACAAACTTGGAAGTATCATAATGGAAACACTCAAATGGAAAATTCAACATACTTTAAGTAAAACCAAAGGAATAAATTTTGCTAGATAATCAGATCATAACATTGATTATAGTTTAAAGGAAATTCAGTTGTAAGTCAAGTTTAATTTTTTTATCCCAGATTACATAAAGAAACACTCCAAGTGACTGCTCTATCACACTTTTGACTCTCCACTTCATTTAAAGTCCATACTTGCAGTTTGAGCAGGATTCTTAACCTGGGAACAAAGTCTATGTAATATATATGATGCTCACTTTTGCCTTCCGACATGACTTTAGTATATAACAATGTTCCCCTTTACCATTGCTAGCCTGTGACTTGAATATTAATGTGTCTTATATTAATTTAAAAAAATATTTACTAAGCAACATTTCATATGAGCCAGGTACCTTCTAGATACTGAAAGAACAAGGAAATGTCCTTTGCCCTCAAGTTATTTACAGTATAACAGCGAAGAGAAAATGACTTTTAAGCTGAGACCTGAAGGATAAACAAAACGTGTGTGTGTGTGTGTGTGTGTGTGTGTGTGTGTTGGGGACAGAGGTGAGGGGGGAAGGTCCTGAGATTATAAAGTAGAAGAATAGCGCACCAGGCAGAGGAAGTAGCATGTATAACCCTCAAGAAGTGAGAGTGCATGAGAAATTAAAAATAATTCATTAGGCCCACAATGAGTATGAACATAGAGTATGAAGGAAAAAGTAGTTAGAGCTGTGTGGAGATGAGAAGGGCCAGATACTTGTGTCTTGTAAGCCACAGTAAATAGATGAATTTTACTGAGAGCAATGGTGATAGATATTAAGCAGGAAAGTGATATAAGAATGTTCATAATTATAAAGAACTCTTTGGCTATAATGAGTTTTAGAATCCTCTTGCAGTTTACCCATATCAAGAAATTTCCTGGTCTAAACCAACATAATGACAATAAGGAAGAAAAAACAGATACATTTTGGAGATATTTAGGATGTAACGTCTACAGGACATGGCCAGTGAATGAATTTGAGGGATAAGGAATGCAAACTCCATGAGGTCAGGGGCCACATCTATTTTGCTCAACGTACAGGCCCTAGATAGCAGATCCTGCCTGTCAAGAAAGATTTGATAAATGTTAATTAAGTGAATAAATTCACTGGACTGAGAATAATGGAAAAGAAAGAAGTACAATTTTGGAGATACAAGTTCAGTCTTGTGAATGTTGAGTGTAAAGTACCTACATGACATCCCAAAACACAAGTCTAGTAGAGGTAATTGGCTTAGTGGGTCTGGAGTTCAGGGGAGAGGGAACATGATTACTGACACAGATTTTAGTAACCACACACAGGTAGTAACCAAAGCCCTGGGAGTAGAAGAGACTATCCAGGGAGCAGCAATGATGAGCACCTAAGATCCAAACTATTAATACATGAAGCTCATTCCAAATCTAATTTAAAGTACAACCATTCATCTCACATAAAACAGAGGGTGAAAACAGAGGGTAAAACAGAGGGTCCACTTCACTGGACCTACTAAGAAGAGATAAAGCCTAAGACAGAAACTTGAAGCATATCAATATTTAAGGAGAAAGAGAAAAAAGAACCTAAGGAATAACCAGAAAAGTACTCTTTAACACCTTGAATTCATACTTTTTCATTCTCCTGATTGCTGATGACCTTTAATTTCCCTTAATACCAGGTATCTGCACCACTACCACCCGGACTAGCTCTCAAATTTGACACTTTTCTCTAGCCCTCACCTCTGTATTCAATATTGTCTTTTCCAGTGCTTTCAACCCACCAATACCCAATTAGTTCCCACTTGACCAAGTTTACTAACACCTTTTTAATATTCTTTATTCCCTTTCCGGAATTTACTTCATGTTAAACTATTTTAATTCAATCCTCACCATCCATTAGAATCTTTTCCCTGAGACATTCCCATAGTTGGTGGTGATTTAGGTCCCCAGAGGGCATTTGGTGAAGTCTGGAAACATTTTTGGTTGTCACAACAGGGAGAGGGAGGGAAGAGTGCTACTAGCACCTAGTGAGTAGAAGCCAGGGGAAGGCTGCTGATCACCCTAAAATGCACAGGACAGGTACCCACAACAAAGAATTATCTAGCCCAAAATGTCAATAGTGCTCAAGTTGAGAAACCCTGCTATAACCCAAAGTCCCATTATTGTATATGCTCTTTGCCTATGCTCTTTATTCCTGTTTCAAAACTATGGTAGACTTTTCCTAAAGTTTCTTATTAAATTCAAGTGTACACTCACTGTACTTGACACAAAAAGGATTCATTTTTATTGATTCACCAGCAGTACTATATACATAATGGGGAATGAGTGGCCCAGGATTAAGCGGTGGGGTGTGCCAGGAGGAAATTGATGACACAAGATAAAATGACATAATTTTATGGGGTATTTTAGTCAAATATTTGGGGACAAAACACTTTTGTAATGAAAATAATGGCCATATATTTAGGCTAAACCATAAAGTTCAATGAAATTTCAGGCTTTAAGTAGAAAATATTCCTTTTCTTTACAAATTAGACTTACTGTGGAGGCAATTTTAGAAGCACTGCTCTCAAGACCCCAGAGGAGAAGCCCAAGTCTTTTACATTTTACTCAGGCCCTCAATTCCAACGAAAGACATCAACTTCAATAACTGTTCCTATCTAGTTTCCTCTTAACACCTCTATATTTACTCCCCTTTCCCTCTTCCCTCTTAAAAACTCTCTAGAAGGCAGGAACTCTACATTATTTATCCTGAATTCAACACCCTATGTTAAGTCAAATGCCTAGGACTAAGTAGGCACAAAAAATATCTTCTGAAATATAAAAAATGAATAAGAATAAATAATCCCTCACTGGGGGAAGGGTGATATTGGAAGGGAAATTTAAAATATATCAATTACAAGTGCTCATAATAAAATGCCAAGATGAGTACACAAAGGGCAGAGATGGCAAAAAAACATACATGCAGGTATTCTATTTAGAACAAGCCTTGTGGTCTTATAAAGCCCCATCGATGACTCCTTTCTCACAGGTTTTGAGGGAAGCAGAGGATTCCAAAAGGGTTTAGCAAAAAATCAAAAAGAGAAAAAATGGCTGATGGAGACTAATGTAGACTAATGTGAATAGTTAAAAAGTGTAAGGATAATTTCTAAATTTCCAAGAAAAATCTTACATCCCAGAATTAAAAAAATAAAAGCAACATTAAGGAGGAATACCTGCTGCACAGTGTCAAAGAAAAGCTAATGTGATAGGACAATTAGTTTCAATACAAAGAATTATCATAAAGGTCTATGAAGTTCATTCAAATTCAAATGTCTGATTGGCTACTGTGGAGGGGTTTGCTACAGTTTTGGGTGTTTTTAACAGGTCTATAAGAATTTAGATACTCATATAAATGAGTGCCATTCTTATTATAAAATAAACACTATAATTGAAATTCCTTTTTGAGATAGGCCTGCAGAGTCAGATTCCTTGTGTGTACCAAAGTTGAGCTTATCACTTCCCAACTCAAACTTACTATCAACAGATAGCAGATAAATTCATTCATTTTGAGAAAATTCACAAGCTTATGATTACGAAATAATTTTACTTCAGCTCATTTCCATTTTTCTTAGCAGTATTTTTCTGAAGATTCAAAATGTATGACCTATTCTTATATTCTATATGATCCCTCTGTCATCTGTCAAATGGGAACATGTGACTTTTCTATCTCCTAAAACTGCTGTGGGGAGCAATTGGTGCTTATAAATTTTACAGTGTTATCAAAGCATAGTGTCTCACAGCATAACAGGTAGTTCAAATCTACCTACTAATTATTATTATCTGAAGGCTATTTAAGATACCTAGTAGTTACAAATAACCTGCCTCAATCTTAAAATCATACTTTAAATATCTACCATAAAGGTAATTTCGAACTTGTTATACAATTTTGCCCACCATGGAGGAAAGTTTTGTTGTTCTTCTGATTCACGAATCATATCCAGTTTATTTCCATCCTATAGGAGCTTATTAAATTTATCTTAACAATTTTTTTCAGAATACTGAAGAAATAAACTAAGCTATTGATGATTACAATAATTACATGCAGAACCACATACCCTTTTTCCCCCTCCAAATGATCACTTTCCACACTTACCTTGCCACTAAGGACTTCTTCCACTCGCTCCTGTGGTGTCTGCCCAGCTTTCTGCCTCACCAAAACATACACTGAATTCACCTTAGGACAAGACCTCAGCAATTTTTCCAAAAGCACCTTCCCTAGGAAACCGGTAGCTCCTGTGAGGAGAACATTCTTGCCTTCATAGTATTCTGGGATTGAAACCATTTTGACCCTAAGAAAAACACAACAAATAAGCATTAGTTCAAGGATTTATATTTGTTTTTACATACTAAAAATTTCTTCATATTCAAATAAGTATTTTAAAGGTCAGGCAAAAGTAAAAATTGAACTAACAAGAGAGGACTCTAACCTCTGGTTCATTGTAGTAAAGTGGAAAGAACAACAAACTGCAGCTCATTTTAACCCTGTGTTTTCCCTCTGGATCACCTCAGACAAGTCACTTACCTCCCCCTAAGTAACTAAATTACTTAGTTTCTCTAGTACAGTTTGTACTAAACGATCTCTAAAAATTCCTTCCAGCAATAAGAACCCAAATCTTCATTCAACCTCAGTTAAACCCTAAACACAATTGAATGGTGTTTCTCTGTCTCCAAAGGGATTTATAACACCGAATAGAGGTCAGCAGCAAGACTCAATTACCTAGCTTGTATAACATGGCCAGGTGTCATATTTACCTATCATCACCAGTTGAAACAAGAAGAGGTAACACCAAGTCCTTTCTACTACATGTCTCTTAGTGATAGTATATCCAAAAGGTGTTTACATCTCCCTTTTTAAAAAGTCATAGTAAGAAATACATGGGCTGATTTACCCTCCCTACCCAAATTCCACTGAAACAATAGAAAAGATATACTAAGAAAGTGAACAAACAAAAGAACCATATTGAATGAAAAATAAAAACAAGGTGCAGAAGATTTTATGCATTATATCACTACATAAAGATCAAACACATTCAAAACAATGCTCTGTATTGTTTACAAATGCACACACATAGGATTAAATATTAACAGATGTATGAGAGACAGTGCAATGTAGTCAGAGAAGAAAATAAGGAGCTTCAATTGTACTTATGTTTTATTTAGGCTAGGAAGTATACACATGTGTTTTATGTTAAAAATTTTTGATAATTACAATCTGAAAACAAAAAATAGCTCCATTAACAAGCAAAAACTAAATAAATAAATAAAGAGAAAAAATAGCAGAATTTCTATTAATAGAAGAAACAGATGAGATGGAATTGATAGAGAATCCATAGCAGAAGAAATAGCAACCCAAGCAAAGCAAGCAAAGGAAAGGACCACAGTAAAGTTGAGAGCTGTCTTTACCAATCCCCTAAATAGAACCTGGGGGAAAATGCCAAGCTCAGGATCAAGAAGACGGATTAAAACAAAAGGAAATCAAGGTAATTAAAAGATTGCTCACAGAACAGCAGAGCCACTCATGACAAGACTACTCTCTACATAAACTTTGGCTTCTAGGCTTATTATCCAGATCTGCTTGAGAAGAGCACCCAGCACGGGTGCTAGGGACAAAAGAGAAGCAAGGCTGACCCTGAGGTTGCTCCAAACATCCACAAATGGAAGTGGGGGAGGCAGGGGAATCAAGAGAGAGGAAACAAAAACCACCGAAAGAAAGTCTTTACAGCACTCAATCCCCAGAATAAATTTTAGGTCCTCACCCTAATCTCTCTGCTGCTGGCCCTGAAACTCATGCAGAGCTCTCTAATCAATAATTCCACCTGGGGAAAAGCTCTTTTGGGAAAAGACCTCAATAAACTGAATAAGCCAATATCAGCTACCAAAACCAACCACCCCAGTCCTTCACAAATATGAGTAGATAACCAAGATCACCAGGTATTTAAGAAATACTTACAAAATCAATAAGGACCCAAAAGGAAAAGCTATGAAACTAATTACAAAGGAAACTAAAGTAATGATTTAAAGAGAATTTAAATTCTTAAAAATATATTCCAAGACATTCACAAGAATATTGCATTCATAAAATTACTATGAAAAAGAACAAATATGAAAGCATTTGGAAGTTAGAAAGTCAAGTGTACATAGAAAATCCAGTAAATAAAGAAACTTTTAGAATTAATAGCCCCCATATGAATTTAACAAGGTCACTGGATACAAGGTTATATGGCAGGGAAAAATGTATTACTAATACACCAGTGACAAACAAAAAAATTAAGTAAAAAAAACCCCCCAAACTATGCCACTTATAATACGATCAAAAACACCAAAATCACAGAAAATAATAAGTGTTGGCGAAGATGTACAAAAATAAGAACCCTCCATACACTGCTGGTGAGAATGTAAAATGGTTCAGCTGCTGTAGAAAATAGTTTGGCAGTTCCTTAAAAAGTTAAACATAGAATTATATGACCCAGCAATTTCACTCCTAAGTACACACCCAAAAGAACTGAAAACAGATACTCATAGGTTTACACAGGTTGAGTGAGTATCCCTTATCCAAAATGCTTAGAACCAGAAGTGTTTTGGATTTCAGATTTTTTTTGAATTTTAGAATATCTGCATTATATAATACTTACTGGCGTAAGCATCCCTAATCCAAACACCTGAAATCCAAAATGCTCCAATGACCATTTCCTTTGAGCATCATGTCAGCACTAAAAAAGTTTCAAATTTTGATTTCAGATTTTTGGGTTAGAGATACTCAACCTGCAGCACCACTGTTCATAATAGCCAAACAGAGCAAACAGCCCACATACCAATCAACATATGAATAAATTGTGGTATATACATAAATGGAATACTATTCATCCATAAAAAATAATGAAGTACTGATACATACGATACAGATGAATCTCAAAAGTATCAAGTGAAAGAAGTCAGATACAAAAGGTCACATATTGTACAACTCCATTCATAAGAAATATCCAGAACAGATAAATCCATACTGGCAAACTGGTGGTTGCCAGGTGCTGTGGCACGGGGCAGCAGGGAGTGGAAAGAAACCGCTTAAGGGGTTTTACTTTGGAGTGATGGAAATGTTTTGGAACTAGACAGGAGGTGGTGGCTACACAACATTGTGAATGTACTAAATGCCACGGAATTGTTCACTTCAATGGTGCTATGATTCGAATGTGTTCCCTCCAAAATGCGGGTATTGCCAATGTGATACCATTAAGAAGAGAGGCCTTTAAGAGGTGATAGGGTATGAGGGCTCCTTCCTCATTAATGGGATTTAAGGCTCTTATAAAAGAGGCTTTAGGCAGCATTTGGCTAGCTTGCTTTTTTGCCCTTCCACTTTCCACCACGTGAGGATACAATGTTCCTCCTCTCCAGAAGATTCAACAACAAGGCATCATCTTGGAAGCAGAGAACAGCCCACACCAGACAACTGAACCTACCAGCACCTTGATCTTGGACTTCCCAGCCTCCAGAATGATGAGCAACAAATTTCTGTTCTTTATAAATTATCCAGTCTAAGGTATTTTGTCACAGCAGCAAAAAACAGACTAAAACAAATGTTTATTTTATATTATATGAATTTTACCTCAATAAATTATTTTTTTAAATGCCAACAATTACAAATAAATATAAAAGATATATAAGACCTATATTTTTAAAACTATAAAACATTAAGAGAAATTAAATAATATCTAAATAAATGGAGACATATATACTATATTCCTAGACTGGAAGACTCGATATTATAAAGATGACAATTACCATCCTTAGATTCAATATAATCCCAATCAAAATCTAAGTTGTTTCTGTTTTTGAATACAGAAACTGAGATTCTAAAATGTTTATGAAAGTGCAAAGGGCCAAGAATAGCCAAGACAAATATGAAGAATAAAATGCTAGAAAACTTACATTACCATATGCCAGATGTATTATAAAGCTACAGGAATGTGCTATTGGGACAAGGAAAGAATAGTGCAATTAACCATATAGAAAAAGTTAATTTTGACCTCTACCTCCCACTATAAACAGAAATGCATTCCAGATAAACTGGAGATCTAAATGTGAAAAGTAAAACAATTATGTTTCTGGTAGGCAAATGTTTCCTAAATAACAATTTGCTAAACAAACAGGAAAACACAGGCTGGGCATGGTGGCTCACACCTGTGATCCCAGCACCTTGGAAGGTAGAGGTAGGAGGATCCCTTGAGGCCAGGAATTCAAGTCTAGCCTGGGCAACATAGCAAGACCTTGTCTCTATAAAAAATAAAAAAATTAGCCAGGTGTGGTGGTACACACCTGTAGTTCTAGCTACCTGGGAGACTTAGCCAGGAGGAGTGCTTGAGCCTGGGAGTTGGAGGCTACAGGGAGCTGTAATCACGCCACTGCACTCTACCCTGCCCTGGGCAACAAAGCAAGATCCTATCTCAAAAAAAAAAGAAAAAAGTAGACTTCCCTATCAAACAGTGAGTCAAATTATATAACTACAATACCTA